CCGGGTTCGAATCCGGGTAGCGACCGTAATTTTTTTTTCTTTAAAATTGTCTTGTTTCACCTTCTTTCCTGCTCTCAAGCAATGTTCTGCCGTTTGCTTTCGTCTCCACTTTCTACCCCTACCCCCTCACACCCTGTGCCTCCTCCTCTAGGTTTCTGACTCTTTCTGCAGCCTTTCTACTGCTACTCCTTGGCTCCTTCTTACTTTGCTGCCCTACTGTACAGCCACCCTCTCTCGGAGAAGGGCGAAAAATCTCGGAGGTCCGTATGCAAGTTGCGCACGTTAAAGATCCCTTGGTGGTTTAAAATCGATAAGAGTAGGTATCGGCCGCTGCCTGGGCAAAACTCAAAATTTCGTACCAACTAAAAATATGTAATGTGTCCCGCGCGCTAATGTGACTTTATACAGTTGCGAGCGCCGTAAAACACTTACCCCCCCAAAAAAGCATAAGATTCGGCATACTGGATATCAATTGAACGCTGCTTCGTTTATGCATTACCATGTCATCCTAATTCGGGTACACTTGATCTCAAGGCGTGGGCACATTATGTTTGAAGTACGTTACTCGATCTCAACGCGTTTTGGCCGCATCCAATGTTGAAGCAAACAATGGAAGAACAATTCGAGAGTGTCGGCCTGATATCGAATTCCCCAAGGATACGTGAAGTAACACAGTACATAAACTGTACAGACTTTCTTTTCCCAAAACTAGTTGAGTTATTATCCTGATTGCATTACATTGCGGAGGGCTATCCTGGTTCGAAAACAAGTAGGCCTACGGTTTTTTGTTTGTTTGTTTGTTTGTTTGTTTGTTTGTTTGTTTGTTTGTTTGATTGTGTTTTTTCGGGGGGGGGGGGGTCGGGATTAATCTTGACCATCAATAATTTATCTATAGCGGCACCAGCCATCCATATCCAGGTGCAGCTGTTTTAGCTTTTCGCGATTAAGGCTTCTCTACACCCCTCCACACAATACAACGACCTCCTGGAGGTGCAGTTGCAGAGGCTGTAAGGAAAGAGAATTCACGAACAGCGGTTATACTCAAGTCTTACAGGAATTCAATGAACACAATCTTGATGACACTATGAGGGGAGTACGACAAACGCTGTCAAGAGAAAAGCGGCCGAACAACCGACTGAAAGACCATGCAAGATAATCTGCAAATGTGTTAGGATGTGAAACCTGAATGCAAATAACTGTCGTTTGTAGACGAAAATCCGACATCACCGACGACTTAATAAAGAATCACACAAATTCCCCGCCTCAAGAGATAAGACTGACTTCAATGAAAGAATACAACACTGCTATTTGCATGCACTTGAGCTTGAGCTCTGATTTTGTGCTGTCATCTACGCTTTGTCTCTTAAAACAGTTTCGCTAACCTGTACATGTTTTTGCTCACCTTACATTCAAATTCTGGGCGTTCTTTATCCTGCCTGACGAGAAACAGATAACGTCTTTTCAGAGGCTTCATTATTCGTCACGATAAATGCATTAAACGCCAAACGGACTTCCAGCTTAATTTTTTTCCATGTGGATCCAGAGCTCAGCATGGTGAATTGGTGAATGCAATGCTGTCTGTTTGATACATGAAAGCATATTTGAATATTATTATGCTTCAACGTTCAAACTGAGTTCAATACCCTTCGAAGTAAAGTTAAAAAACAAAACAAAACAAAGCAAAACAATCCAACGCTTACACGTTTAAATCAGGTAAACAAAGGGTTGGGATCTAGATCACTGCCTACTTTTACCTTTACCGACGTCCCTGGTGTAGATAGCCCGCCATTGACCCGATTTTGATTCTCGAAATAGACCTTGGAGAAAATGTTTATTGAGCAGCTCGGTCTTTCTGCTGGTGTGTTGTTTGCATCTCTCAGCCCAGGTTGGCCCTGACAGACAAGGTCAGATGCTTGCCTTCTCAATAATCTAAATTGTGTCGATTTGTGTGTGTGTGGGGGGGGGGGGGGGGGGGTGAGAGGCATTAAAAAACACGTATGTTTGAAAAAAAAACAACCCTGCCTTCACAAAGATTGATTATTGATTCGACTTAGTGTATTACAATATTATTATTGAAGCTCCACAATATTACTTCATATAATTCGCTCTTTATATCTCTAATTAGGGCCCGGCCTTGCCTTTGTGGTGTACCCAGAAGCCATCTCGTACCTTCCTGTGCCACAGCTGTGGGGAGTTCTCTTTTTCCTGATGCTCTTCACCCTGGGGCTGGACTCTCAGGTGATTCAATTGGATGACTGACTTCGTTCTCCGTATCCATTTTTTGTTAACTAACTTCTTTCAACGAATCTCCTTTGTCAAATGACTTCTCTCATCCTGATCCTGTTTTTGTTAACTGATTTCGTTCTCCGGATCCTTTAAAACATTTTTTGTTTACTGACTTTGCTCAACGAATCATTTTTGTTAACTGACTTCTTTCACCGACTCCTCTTTTGATAACTGATTTTTTCCACAAAATCCTTTAAGCATTTTTGCATTTACTTCTTCCACCTGACTCCGCGCTGACTTACCGCTTTCTCTAAATCCTACTGAATAAAACGGCTTTCTTTCATCTTATCATGTTTGCAAACTAACATTAAAAAACTGGATTCCTTTTACTACTAAAACTTGATTGCTTTCACCGACATCACTTGCAGGTATTACTACTTGTTTGCAGATGTTCCTGTTCAGCTTTCACTTTCAATCCAGCAGCCTTGATATAGTTATAATCTACACTGCATCTTGAAGTTTAAAAAACCCAATCATATTTAATACGTGAAAAACAATCAATAAAACTTCTGAATTAATATAAAATAAATAAATAGCACAAACGTAAACACAGACCAAGCTGCGTGTTAATGACAATGGAACCGTATCTAATTACCGAATGTCGTTAAAAGACAAAACTGAACACCTAAAGGATGAAATGCAAAAGGACTAAAACATAATTAATACCCCCCCCCCCCCCGTTAGCACATTTACACACACACACACATACACACACACACACACACACACACACACAGAGCCACACACACACACACACGCACACACAAACAAACACACACATACACGCACATACACACATACATTCATATACACACAAATACACAGGCATACATACAAACATTATTATACACCCGAAAAAACAATGCATATTATATTACAAAACGTATCAAAATAGGAAAAAACAAAGCAACACAACAACAACAGCAACAACAATAACAACAACACACACACACACACACACATAAACACACATATACAGGCACATACACACATATACAGGCACATACACACATACACACGTACACACTCATGCACACAAACACACACGCATACATAAAAACATATACACTCCGAAAAAACGTTGCATAGATTTAAAACACAAAAATAACAACAACAAAATCAACAACAACAACAAAAACAACTAAAAAAGTCAGCGAAAGAAACCAATCCTGACATCTAAAATGTTTAATCCCAATTCTTTTACCACCTGTATACCGGTATTCTAACGGCCTCTAATTCCATCCACCGTAGCCCAAATGAGCCAACGAGTTGATAACTCTGAGTTTCGGTAGGTACCAGTAAGTGTAACCATAGTAACCATATAAGTGTTGTAAATCCCCATCAACATAATCTACCTATAAAATAGAAGGCAAGCTCATGGATGCCTCGACAAGATCTTTGTATTCATGTCTATGCCTGAGCTCGTTATGTATAGTTATTTATTTATTAATTTTTTAATTATTTTTTTTTGTGTGTGTTAATTTGTTTCCTTTCGCAGCTCTGACAATGTTCCCAATTTTCTGTTGCAGTTTGTGTTTTGCGAGACGTTTTTGACCACATTCACTGACGTGTTTCCCTGGTTGATGAAGAGGAGACAGTTTCTCTTTAAGATCCTATTCTTCACAGTTTTGTTTGTTATATCTTTACCTTTCGCCACAGAGGTAAATCAATTACATGTATAAGGCTCAGCGGCTTCCATATAAATCTGACCGGGGGTATTTAAAGAAAAAGTAAAATGTCTTTTTCATTTGTTATCTTAATCTTTCGAATTTTTAAAAGTCATAATTTTAGATGGAGTTTTATAAATTTAAATTATTTTCTGAACCTTGTTTTTCAATTTAATTTAATTCAATTTGTTTATTCGCCTGTTGTAATTATTATAATAATGACTTTTGTTTGGTTTTGGTTTTGGTTTTGGTTTTTGAGTAAGAAAGAAAAAAAAAACCCCGCGAAAAAGCAAAACAAAAAAAGGTCCTGGTCCTTTGCTGGACTTAAACACCCCCACTTCGCCATGAACTTCTTGGAACCACGCACTTTATAAAGGACGTTAACCAGAAACCTGTCGACGCAGGTTCTGCTGCTGTTGTTGACGAAGACAACAACAAAAAGTTACACTACGCCAATAACAAACACACACAGCCACCCACCCACACACACACACACACACACACACACACACACACACACACACACACACACTCACACACACACACTACACACACACACACACACACACACACACACACACACACACACACAAAACGTGTTTCTTAATTTTCCAAGTTCTCTTTTCATTTCTAAGACTTTTTTATCTCTCCCTGAACATGTGGATTTGGGTTTGTCGGCAGTAACCTATAGAATTATATAGCCGTCAAATAAATATGTTAGAGTGCATAAAGGTTTTATAATGTGAAGTCGTCTATTCCTTCCAATGATATGCTCCTCATACTGATACATAATGTTGATTTGTTTGCAGGTAAGGATTTTTTCAGTTCCTGTTTTTAAAAAAATGTAAGGAGGTGTGGAAAAGGGGGGTATTACACTTTTTGTTTGTTTGTTTGCTTGTTTGTTGTTTTCTAACTTCAAAAGCTTTAGAATCATTGCATGCTTCATTTTTGTCAGATGTTCACTCCGATCTCACCTTTTTTTTTTACACCTATTAGTTTTTTTGCGAGCGCTATTTTTTCCTTTCTTACGTAAGGTTTTTTTCGTTTTTTGGGGTTTTTTTTTCATTTCTTTCTTTGACTAGGGCGGCATGTACCTGTTTCAGCTGGTCGACTGGTATATCGCCGCCTATGTCTTGATTGTGGATAGCATTTTGGAGCTGTTCATTATTAGCTGGATCTACGGTGAGAAACTAGGTCATAATTTAATTGAGCACTACTGTGAGACACGTTTTATATTATCATTATGTACACTTAAAAATTGGCAAGCTGATGATGTCAGCCAGAAATGGCCCAATTCCGAAGTTTTTTTAAAACGATGCTTGTTTTTACTGACCTCTTCTTAGACAGGGACTGCTGCTACTACTACTACTACTACTACTACCACTACTTACCTACTACTACTACTACTACTACTACTACCACTACCTTAATACTACTACTACTACTACTACTACTACTACTACTACTACTACTACTACTACTACTACTACTACTACTACTACTACTACTACTACCACTGCTGCTGCTGCTGCTGCTGCTGCTGCTGCTGCTGCTGCTACTGCTACTGCTACTGCTACTACTACTACTACTACTACTACTACTACTACTACTACATATGATACACCGTAATATTGGCTCCTTAAATGAGGCTGAAATAAATGCATGAAACATCAACATGAAATGGAAATTGCGTTGGCCTTTGACATGAAATCCCACATGAAACAATCTGTAAAGAACTAAATATTATAAATTCAGCAAAGTAAATTAAAGCTGTCTCTGGGAATGTTTTACAACTATTAATTTATCCTCACTGAGAAAAATAACGTAACTTGTAAATCTAAGATTCAAAGTTAATCAATATATTTTTTTTAAATTTTGTTTCTTCAGGAGCTGAACGCTTCTTTGATGACATAAAGCTCATGCTAGGATATCGACCACCGTACATTTTTGCTATATTTTGGAGATTTCTCACCCCACTATTCCTCATGGTAAGTCACATAAATATGGGACCTCGTAGCATTCACTAGGGCAGCTCCATTCACGGACAAAGACAAACGTGTGCTTATTATTATAGCAGACTTTAAATAAAAGTTGACCAACCAAAAGAAAATAAATGTAGCGAAAACTCAGTTTGATTTGGTCGTGGGTTATTATTTAGGTTGAAAACCCCTTTCATAAACGTAGAGTCATTCTATAAGTGGGCTCTCCGAATTCAACGATAGTACTTACTCAAATACGTGGAAAGCCTTACAACCCCCCTCCCCCTCCCCGGCACAAAAATAGAAATATAAAGTCAAATATAAAAAATAACCACCTAAAATGTTTTCAAAACTCCCAACTCTTGAGGATTCGAACCAAGGCCACCAACGGCATGATACCAGAGGCTATTAGTGTTTTAAGGAAGTTGGTAAGAGAGTTAGTAGGAATAAGCATTTTAGTTTGTTACAACAGCCTAATATGGACACTATTACATCACCCTCAATCTCTCTCGCTCTCTCTTTGTCTTTCTCTCACTCTCTGTCTCTGTTTGTCTCTTTCTCTTTCACTCTCTCTCTCTTCTCTTTCTTGTTTTCTCTCTCTCTCTCTCTCTCTCTCTCTCTCTCTCTCTCTCTCTCTCTCTCTCCCTCTCTCTTTCTCTCTCTCTCTCTTTCTCTCTCTCTCTCTCTTTCTCACCCCCTCTCTCTCTTAAATCCTTTTGTGTTTGTGTTTGTGTGTGTGTGTTTGTGAGTGAGTGAGTAAGTGTGTGTGTGTGTGTGTGTGTGTGTGTGTGTGTGTGTGTGTGTGTGTGATTCTCTTTCCTATTCCTTTTCTATTTCCCACTGCTCTCTTATTTCATCATCATCATCATCATTGTAGAATAACATATAAAAATAAACAAAATGTCAATAAATGGACATGTTTTAAAATGACCGAAGACAAGATTGCCTAGTATCAGACACGGTATTGGAGAGCAACTGGATAAAGAACACGAGATACACCAACTGGAAGTTACAGGGTCATAAACAGAGATGAAGCAATCACCCAGGGCCTAGATGTGCATCTTCTTCTTCTTCTATATCGCATCACACTTGAAGTCTGGTAACTGTCATAAATTGGGCGTCCTACTCAGTTCATCTGTCGGCACGTATAGCTTCTCTTGTATTGTCAGTGTCAGTGGGGTGGGCCACGTTTCCTGTCTCAGGGCCCTGTGTGTCTTGCAGTGCTGCCGCCTCTTCACACTGGCATTTTGGTGATTGTGCTAGTTTAAAACATCTGTACATATTAATATGTTGTCTCAGTCTTGTGTGTTTGGTTCTTAGTCGGAAAATAATCACCAGTTCTTGGCGGGGCAGCTCATGGTAGCCATCTGGTGTCTGTGGTGTTTTAAATAGGGTATTTATAATAGTTTTTATTTCTGTGTAGTTAACGCTGTTGTCCTAAATGTGCAAAGATCGGAGGAAAAGGCCAGGGACAGACAGGCGTGGCGTCGACTGCTCTCTTCCTTATGTCATGTATCTTCCCTGGCGGTATAGGGAAAGAGTAGTAAGTACCGGTAAGCAGATATTCATTTTGAGAAATATCTTTCCTCAGACTGTACTGGTCAACACACTGTGGACGTATGGACCTCCTGTCTACCAAGACTACCACTACAGTCAGACAGAAGTAGCCATCGGCTGGTGTTTTGCTACGGTCTCCTTCCTCCCCGTCCCCATTTACGCTGTCTACATTCTGGTGAAAACACGTGGATCCTTTATACAGGTGCGTCCTTCATGCGGGTTGTTGGGGAAACTCTCTGTAATTGTTGTGTGTTTGAATTAACATTAAGTCGAGTCATCTGCGTCGATTCCTGATTAATGTCTGTTTTCTCTCAAATGGTATAAATGCTGTGTATATGTGTGATTCTCTCTCTCTCTCTCTCTCTCTGTGTGTGTCTCTCTCTCTCTCTACCTCTCTATCTATCTATCTATCTATCTCTCTCTCTCTTTATTTTGCGTATGTCCTCTTATTTCATTGTGAGTATACTTTCACAGAAGTAAGAAACAAAAGTACCCTTAAGCTTTCTGTTGTTTCCTGTAGTCAGCGAAATTTAAACATCTAGATCTAGGTTTAGTTTTTGTTTTTGTTTGGCATTTTACTTTGCTTTTTTTTTCTTCCAAGTGCAATGAGAACATGACCTAGTGCAGGAAAGTAAGTTCTTGGTCCTCTGTTTCCACCCAGGTCCTATTCAAGCATTGACATAATTAGCTTGAAAAAAAAAGAGTTTTGTCTGAAGATCGTGAATTTGTCACCTAAGTACGGCATTATCTGCTCTTATCTTGCAAACTACTTGAATGTGTCAGGACCGGTTTCACTTATCAGCAGGTGGAGTTAGAGAAGTCGAAATATAATAATATTGTACTACTATGCACCTGTTCTTGAACAATGACAACATAAACAAGAACAAATTAAGTACTACTATAAGAACAACAATTACAAAAACAACAACAACAACAACAACAACAACAACAACAACAACAACAACAATCAATCAATCAATCAATAAAATAATCAAAAAGGTAAAAACAGAAACAAGAAGGAAAATGAATTATAGCAATAGTTTCCAAAACAATAACGACGAAGGAAATATTCAAATCAACTGAGAATTTTATTCTGTAGACTTCCGTCTGCTGTGTATTCAAGTAGTAATTCTTCAACGTTAAACAATGTACATGTACTATACCATCTGCTCGGTAAAGTGTTGCTGTTGTTTTTTTTTCTTGCGCGTTATCTTTGCTGTTCATCCACCTGCTATTCTTTCCATCTTCATATACATGTACATAAGTACGTATTTTTTGCTTGTATATGTTTTTGTGTATACATGTATAAATATGTGTGTATTTGTATGTGTGTGTGGGGGGGGGGGCGATTCTTATTAATTATTCATTCTGTCAAGTTACTTCCTTTTACAATCAGTAGCTCACTTATTGTGAGGCAACGTGGTGGAATCAGGCTCTCGTCAAAACAATGAAATCGAAGAAAACAGCAGTTTTCTCCCTGTTTAGCAGTTTTTTATCAAATTTTTGTTTTTTTGGCTCAACACCTTTTATGTCCATTTACCAACACATTCCTTTGAGGATTTCACCGAAAACGTTGATCAAAGGCACAAAAATATAAATTTACAGTTTCCATGGACTCTCCAGTCTCCACTCCAGCTTTAGAATTTACCAAGCTTTGACGGCCATTTTCTCGCTAATTTTACCTTCTTAAATTAGGTGACCCCCACCTCCTTCAATCCAAAATATCCCCACTTCTATTGAAGAATGATGTGTAATTTTCTCATTGAAAGCAAGACAAATGAACAAGCTGTAAGATGATACCAATAACTCAATATGCCCCAAAATTGACGAGAGCCTGATTCCACCACGTTGCCTCACTTAATATTATGCTTTCTTTTTAATGTATTAACATTCATTCCTTCGAGATCTGCTCCTTGTTTTTTATTCACAGCGCTTGAAGACCACGTGCAGACCGTCCAGTCTTTGGGTGCGGGCGGAAACCAAACTGCGAGATGAATATAGGGCGGAAAGCAGACAGAAACAGCTGTGTACATTCCCCGTGCCTTGTCTGCGGCAGAAGGCCTAGTGAAACGGGTGGTTGGCGAGTGCTCTGATGGTGTGATTTGCTCCTTGTTTCCCATCAAACATCTATCATCCTGAGCTCTCCTCCTTCTTATTTCTGTTTGTTACTCTCTGATAACAAATCTAATTTTGGGCACTTAAATGACTTTACTGCGCTTCAATTAGTTCTGTTAAACGCTTACTAACACTAAACTAAGACCTGGGGACAAGTTTCAACGTGATATTGTCGTTAATTTCAATTATCCAAAATACCCTGTATGTCCTGTAAGCAGTTGACTGTAAATGTATCATCTGCTAACAGTATTTTTTAAAACTGTTTACAGACATGGTTTAACAATTGTTTGCGTGTATATATTTTGTTAACGGTGGATTTTTTGGGGATTTAATCCCGATTAATTGCACACCTAGATCTACATGTTAACAATTGATTGTATACACATGATACGTATACAAATCCGTAATTGTGAGTTTTCGGGTTTGGGGGTTCAAGCTTCAGCTCGGTCCGACGTCGTGTCCTTGTTAATCGAATTTTTCATTTGGCTCGGCTTTATCGGAGATGGACGTTAAACTCTGTGATCTCGTCTCTCAAACAAACTAATTGCATTGATATGTCTACCATTTCACTATTTAAATGTTCACATTTTTGTTAACAATTTATTGATGGTATACATACTTGTCAATAATGATTATATTATGCTAGATCTATAACATTAATTTGTGTACAGTTAGTTTTTTATTTAGTAGATAAAAATTGATTGTGGGTTATCCAAGTAAAGTGTATTTGTGAGTCACTTTGGTGAAATCAGGAGCTTGTCAAACAAATAGAAATCGTGGAAACCGACGAGCGCCTGATCTCACCGCACCGTGACACATTTGTTTAGATCTATAGTTTTTTAAATGATGGACTGGGCTTGTTCTTAATTCGGTTTGCTTTAAGAGAAATACAGTTTGTAAAGGACGTAGTTGGCTTTCCACTTGATTAATTTCATTGGCGCAGTTGTAATGTTGGAGCTATGTATTTTTTCCCCTTCATTTTAATGGTATCACATTTTCTAGAGAGGAACTGTTTATATGTCTACGAACTTTTTATCAGATCATTTATAGATTTTGATCTAACTCGTAAATATTAAGACAGTCATAGAGACTCAGAAACAGAGAGGCACGCAAATAGACAGACGGACAGACAGACAGACATATAGAAAGATATAGTAAGATAAATAGAAAGACATGTTTAAAAATAAACAACTTTCATAAAAGTAAAAACGTATTTTTTATATACTTTCCAAATTTGTTCAAATTTTGTACATTGATACAACATTTTGTGCTGTTGGGATCTTGGATATGTTGAATAGAAAGAAAGTTAGAGAAAGATAACTGACCTGCCCCTTCATGCCTCTGAATTCGATTACACAATCATCAATGTAACTCATTTATGAATGCATCGATTTCATTTTCCACCAGTAAAAAGTTAGGTTATGCAGTGAATAACAAGCCCTGAAAATTTCATTAGAATCAAATAGAAAATACAAAATTAGATGAGAAAAAAATATTAAAAAATTAAGTTTTGAGAAAAAACGACATTATTTGTAACATAATCAAAATAAAAGTCCAAGGACAGAAAATCTGAAAGATGATGATTGTAACACAAAGAGTAAGCTTTTTGTTTTTAGATTTACAAAGTTTTGAAGTATTATGATATGTAAAAAGTCCGGACAGAACTACCATAAACTGACCCAAAATCGACAATATAACCCCCCCTCCCCCCACCTTATGTAGTTTATCCCTTTAGGTTTTAAAATAGATGACGGTCAAATCGTCAAAGACGGCTACTCATTGGAGTGGGAAAATGTGGTTGTCTCAAACAGTGGAACTCTCGGACAGTGTCAAAATAATATTCAAGAAAGCACAAGGGGGCAGCTGGGAAGTGATCGTTTATGCATGTCATTGTCTTGGACAGATGTCCGTAAGAATAGATTTGACAATATATTTTTTTAATCCCATAAAAGCAATAGGGACCATATTGATACATTTCAAATCTCAAGAGTACATTTTCAAACGGAATTAACATTGAAAGTTATTCTTTAAAATGAAATAAAAATTTGCATTTCTTTCAAGGCATAGCCTGTAAGATCACCTATATAGATAATAATGAATGCGTTTTACGCCCCCATCAACACAATTTAAATCGTACAGGAAGCGGGCTTCGACTCCTGCCTTTCAGGGCCAGCCCGGGGTCCGGGGTGAGAAGGATCAACGTCTAAGCCGATAGACCGTGATACTTGGTAACATTCTCATTACACAGGAACTGAACTCTAGTCTTCGGTGTGCGACGGTGAAATGCGTAACCGTTACACTACATGCACCAGTACACAGCATCACCGACCGGCTCGACCACAACAACCCAAAAATGAGATTGCCATTTCGATCTCTCTAAACAAAAACAACCAGCTACAACCTCTACAAACTGTCGACAGGAATAGAGTCATTTTATATATATATATATATATATATATATATATATATATATATATATATATATATATATATATATATATATATATATATATATACAAGTTCATATACAATGTCTTTACTGCCACTTCACCTTCGACAAAACCTGAGCAAAGAAAGCCACAGTCAAAACAACCGGCGTCCCTGGTGAAGTGATAAGTTCGATTGCTGTGAGGGAAAAAATAATAATACATTTATTGAATCGAGTACCTCGGTCTTTCTGTTAGGGCGACGTATCCCTACGGAGTTTGCCCTGACAATAAACCACGATTTAAATGTCATCGATGGAGGGAGTGAAAGCACCAGCAATAAAAACAAAACCAAGGCTAATATGCTTCGATTCTTCAGGTTTTTTTGCAACGTGACGAAACTATATGCAAGGTCAAGACACAGATTGAGCTGCCCCAGAAAATAGATTGAACTAGATCTAGATCTAGACCATGAGTTGTGTGTATGTGTATCATTATGAGAGGCAGCATTACGGCGCAACAGGCCTTTAGCACGTTTTTCTCACATCAGTGTGCCACACAGTAAAATTGTAAGAGGATGGTTGACAGGTGCTCTGGTGTGGTTTACTCTTTCTTTCCCATCACACATCTACCATCCTTATCTCCCTTCCTTTTTTGTGTTTGTCGCTCTCTTTAAACACCTCAAATCTTCTGCTCTTATATACGAGGGCGAAGGCTGGTTTGTTTGACAGCGTAATAGTAATCAAAGTGAGACGGGACCAGACGGGGCTTGGAGATACCAAACAAGAATCTTACTCGAGGCAGCCACACTGAGTTGTGA